AATGAATGAAGCCTAAGTTGAATTTAAAATCTTGAAAATCGTAACTGAATACCTATCTGGAAAAAGACTAAAAGCACTCAGGAATGGTAAATGGTTTCTGGGGTAATTTAGTGACTATCTGCATATTTTATCAACGGGTCACATCATTTTGATGCAATTAATCGAAATGCAGCTTCAATTAAGCCCTGTTAGATGGTCATTATTGAGAAAAAAATAATATTTTGAATAGTGAGTTTTTAAAGAATGTGTGGTTAATAAATAGGAAAAGTTTTGGATTTATGTATAAAATATTTTATTGTGTAAATGTGTTGTTCAAAATGAGTATAAGAATTAAAGAGTTTTGTTTTAAAGGGAGACAGACGGGGGATAAGGAAGTATCATTTTAAATTGACACTTACTAGGTACCCACTACTTTGTTGGTGCTTGATTCTGTTCCTTTACCCTCAACTATTCTTGCCAAACCAAAGTCTGAAATCTTTGGATTCATCTCTTCGTCTAACAGTATATTGCTCGTTTTCAAATCTCTGTGGATGATCCTCAACCTTGAATCTTGGTGAAGATAAAGAACCCCTCTTGCTATTCCCAAGATGATGTCAAACCGGTTCTTCCAGTTTAGCAGCATGCATAGTTTTTTATCTAGTAATTTTTGTTCAAAAAGAAGAAAAAGAAATCACAATGGGTTGAAATGACAATTGCATTAACTATAACAATCATTTTCAAGAACTAACCAAATATAAAGGCATCCAAACTTTTATTGGGCATATATTCATAGAGTAAGATCTTCTCATTCTCCTTTATGCAGTAGCCCAAAAGGCGTACAAGGTTTCGATGTTGAAGCTTGGCAATCAATACAACTTCGTTGCGGAATTCATTTATTCCTTGGACAGAATGGCTTGACAACCTTTTCACTGCAATCTCTTGTCCTCCAGGAAACATTCCCTGCAGGAGATGTGAAGTAGAAATTTTTACGCAAGGAAGCACGGCCTTGATTGTAGAAAAAAATTATGGAGAACCCATTGAAAAACCTTGTAAACAGGTCCAAATCCCCCTCTTCCAAGTTTATGTACATCTGAGAAGTTCTCTGTAGCAGCTAATATACTTTCCCAACTGTAGAAAGGAACACCGACACCACTCTTGTTTTCTTCATCCATCAAATCTGATACTTGTCTGTCACTACTCTCATACGACCAAAGCACTGGATTCTCTTCACTGTTTTCGCCACTTCCTAGAGTCATACACATATTAATGCTGATTAGTTGGAGGTATCCTCCGAACTAGAAGTATGTAGTAGAAAAATGGTTCTCTATATTTACTTCCACTTCCCACTTACCTTTTCTTCTAGTCATATTTTTTCTTCTATATAAGTAATAGCTAAAGCAACAAACTAGTAGAACTGCAGCAAATATCGCTATGATAATAATAACATCTTTTAGCCATCTGGCAAGTGATCTCCCAGTCCCTGTAAATAAGAATATTTCAGATTCAAAAATGGAACGTTTTTTCACCCTTTCAAATGGAAGTGACACATTAAGCCAAACATGATTGTGAAAAATGAATATCTTTAGAAAATATAGAGTATGTACCTTGGACACAATTTAAACTTGTGCCATTCCATTGATATTCTTGGTCGCAATAGCATCTGCTCATGCCATTTGCTCTGGCGTGGCAACTTGAATTGGACCAATCTCGACAGTCACCGGATACATTGCAAGAGGGCTCCAAAGGAGGTTTCCAACTTATCTCTATTCTTCTTTTATAGCACCCATTTGTCACGGTGAATGGAGATGATTGGTTAAGCTTCACGATTTGTTCTGACAAATTTCTAGCATCACAGCTATTAGCAGTTTCCGTGTTCACTTCAATAACAAATGTACGATTCTCCTTATTAATGTTGAGGACTGAGTAGTTTCCGCTCAAAGTCTGGAACTGAAATATGCCTGTGGATTTATCACAGTCGAAACTAGAGTATAAAGGATCACCACAGTTTGGCCCGGTGCTCAGTGGATAAGGTATCATAATGTCATCACAAGGTTTACAGTCTCGTGCTTTCAAGTCTGTAAGACCATATCATGAATGTCAACCATAAAACGTCTCAAAAGTACCATTTGAATAATGTTTGGATTAACGGGATCATAGTTAATTAACTCAATACTTATAATGGTAACATGTCATGGACATAACTATATTTGTCTACACTGATTCGACAGCTTGCCTATTCAAGTTCCGGGGTCATGGGTTAGTGCTATTTCTAAATTGAAGAAATAGAGTACTTTGGGGAGGTAGAATAAAAATATTGCACTGGCTGTGTATGCATACATGTTAGTTGACTGGTGATGACCCTTTTATAAACCACGAGAAAATAGTGTTATAGAAACACACTTCCTTTACGGAAAATTGACCCCTTCACAGTTAACTAACAACACAAGTTAAGCACCGTCACCTACAACTACGTTGAATACTTCTTTGGAGACATTAATCAAGTACCGTGACCTCAAAGATTTTGGTATATAACTGGAGGAGTTGAAGTGGCTCACTCTCAACAAGTGGTATCCAAATTTCAGAACGTATGAACAAACGTGCAGGGGAAAGAAGAATTACCCATACCTACGCGTACATTGAGCTGGACGCGACTCTCACCATCCACCCGACAAAGATTTTCAAGATCTCCTGTCCCAATAAAACATGAAGGAACAACATCACTATCTCCTGTCCGCTTGGCATTATCTTTTTCTGACGTGTAATAGGCCACGCATTTGCTGTTGTTCAGGCACTCCTTTTCGCATTCTGTCTTATTTCGAGCCTCATCAAATGGAAGGAATGAAGCCCAGAAATTGGTCAAATGCAAATTCCAGAACGTGGATTGATTGGCATTGTTGTCACGTCTAATTTGCTTCCTCTTTTCGCAATCTCCAGGGTAATCCCCATAATTCGAATCCACTTTGGAAACAGATTGATATCCAGGCAAACAATTGCATTGTGGATCACGATTGCTATCACAGATGCTGAATTTCCCGCAAAAATTGTAGACACTGCACTTATCTTGGGGCTCAGACCATAGAGAGGTCCATTCCCCGTCGAACCATGTATACCATTGTATTTCCCCCGTCCAACTCATGAGAAGCCCAGAGACAGTATAATTGAAAAGCCATGTAACATTACGATTGGAAGACCTTGTAAAATCAAAAGATATTGTTCTGTTGTCTTGACTACCAAAAGATGGATATTTACTTTCATCAAGTCCTTCGTTAAATCCAGACAACAAGTAGGCTACGGCATCAGGCATTTTATTCTTAATGATTGATATACCTGACTCACTTCTCCAGTAAGTATTGGATCTATTTTCTATCACGTACAATTCTTGATCTTTCCGAAATTTGAAATCCCCAAATGCCGGGTCAGTTGGGTTTGACCAGGAAGCCAAAAACATTCTGTCATTCATTTTCATACCGGGAAGAAATGTATCTGTTGGATGCTCGAAACTTTGCCATAATGGAGATCGACCATCAAAAAATTTCAAGTTTCCATAATCCATTAGCTTCACCGTCCTGTTAACACCAGCATTCTTAAGATCTGTTATGGCGAAAGCAGTTCTATTCGAAAGTACCTTGAGGTTGCCATCTTCTGCAATGGCAAACGATCCCGAAGAATCAGTCACTGGATTATATCTATTTGCAACCCACACTACTCTTCTTGGCATATTGTGATACCATATTCCTACGTATCTCTTGTTTCCTCCAGGACCAGGAGTAAAGAAACCAAGTTCAAATATTCCTCCAGCTGATACGAGACTTTCATTCGCGTCGTCCCTTAATGGATGGCTTGTATTGATGGTGTCTCTTGCATCACTCTGATGACTCAAGCAAACCACTAATATTGTGCAGTAAAAGAACACAGAGATGGTATTGGTAGGAGACTGCATATGCAAAAAATTATGAGTGTTTCAGGGAATCTATCCAAGAAATGTATGATATGCGAAAGACTGAAATTACTCGAATGTTTTAATGTGCAAGAACAATAATATCAATTTAGAATGAATAGATGTGTGTGGTTTGCATACCTTGAAAGCACTACACACAAGTCTTCCATGGAACTTTTTAAGTCAATGATACCAGTCCATGGCTGTAAATTACTGAAAATGAAATATATGTCTGTACCTTCTGTTTCCAATCCAGGAGAGGGATTCTTCACGATTTTGCATGATTAAATCGAAAACCGGTCTAAATCGAGTTTAATTACACGTAAAAGTTAAGACGTATAAAAACTAATTAAAAAAGTTCAAATCAATCAGCTCACCTGAAAAAACTGGATTAGTTTTAACAATTCATGGTTTAGAAAGGAAGATATGTTTTTGGTTTGTTTAATCTTTAAATGGAAAATTTATAAATTAGGAATACTAAGAGAATTAGTAATAATTATGAAAGTAATTTATTTTCAGTGAATTTATAAATTTGTAAATTGTGTATTAGTGGTTGGACACCTGTAAAGGAAAAAGGTGACATAGTCAATACTCACGTTTTCATCTTTAAGTCATTCAATTTCACATTTCATTTAACCTATCATTTAAAACCATCTAAATTGTGTTTTCATCCTCACTGGGGATGAATAACATTACTCTTTCATCTTGGGTAAAAAACACGGTTGTTGTTCCTTTCTTCAATTTCAGTGAAGTTTTAATTTAGCCTGAGTTCGACAAATTTATGAAAGCAAATTTATAAATCAGTTGACCTTCATTTTTTATCACACAATTCAATAGGCTCACAAATATTATTTACTTATTCACTACTTATTTCTATTTATTTATATATTAAACCGTTTATAAAATAGAAACACGTAGAAAATGGAATTGAAGTTCAGTTATAATGAGCTCAAGAAATAATTAAGGTCAATGATTCCAAAAAGTTGTGATTGAAAATGAAACAAAAGTATAAGTTTAGTGTTACCATTTCCAAGAGCTCGAATTGAATCAATATTAAATGGTGAAAAGAAATTAAAAGTGCGGTAATGAATTCGAAACAAAAGCAAGTATAGTGATTGAAATAAAACATTTCTGAAAGTTTGAAAGTTATTTATATTTTATTAAGAA